TACCCTATCATTTTATGTATCATATCGAAAGTTACATAGGATTGCAAAGTTTCAGAATCAAGGTGTATCGCTGAAAAAAGATACATTGTATCAAAGATTGCGGGTACGGGGTCATTTAGAGGGCATTTCCTGGTGATTTTTCGACTCAGGTCGGTGATCTGTGCACTTTTTCTCATATCCATTTTTAATGATAGAGGTCGCACCAGGGTCCCTGGCCTCTCCATAAGCCACTGCAAGAATCCTATCTATACATCTTTCCGCAAAACTGTCACACCCATGTGCACTGAAATCTGCCATGATGACAACTGTTTGAAATTTGCAATACAGAAACTCAATTTCCCCTTAAAAGTGCCTTCAAACTGACCAGAAATTCCCCTCGAATGACCCATACCCACATACTTTGATACGGCATTCCTTTTTTCAGGGATACCGTTGGATTCTGAAACTTTGCAATCTTATGTAACTTTCCATAAGGAGCAAAATATATATAACATGATGGTGTGGCAATATGACATGTATGAGTTTATGGGGGATGTATACATATGAAACACCCTGTATGCATTTATTAGTTAAAGTGTACAGATATAAATATTTCTCCATACAAAGATATTTACTGGTTGTGTTGAAGTGATTGTGCCAACAAAACCCAGTATATTGTGTCAGCACAATACAAAAATGATAAATAGATAGCTCCAATTAGCTCTTCTATAGCCTTTGGTGATTCCCTAGAATGCCATGGAGGTGCTTTAATAGCCCCCTTTTATTCCTTAATAGCTTTACTGATAACCAGTATGCCCTGGTTGTGCTTTAATAACCCCTATTGATTCCTTAGTAGCCCTTGGGGACTACTAAGAATGCTTGGTGTTGTTTTAGTAATCCTGATTGGTTCTTTCATAGCTTTAGTAATGGCCTTAGTGATAAGATCGCATGCCCTGGTTGTGCTTTATTAACCCTTATTGGTTCATCAATAGTCTAGGAAATAACCTAGTATATCCTGGTTGTGCTTTAAACATATGGTTCCTAATAGACCTTTGTGATTTCTCTGTATGCTTGGTTGTGCTTTGATTTCCCCCATTGGTTCATTAAATAGCCTTAGCAATTACCTACATGTAGTATGGCTGGTTGTGGTTTAATATCCCAAATTGGTTCCTTTTAAAGTGATAACCTAGTATGCCCTGATTGGCTCTGATTGAACTTTGATACCCACAATTGGTTCCTTAATAACACTAAGTGATTCCTCAGTTTGCTTAGTGATGCTTTAATAATCCCTATTGGTTTCTAAATCTGCCCTAGTACTCCCTAATATGCCTTGCTGGTGCTTTGATAGCCACAATTGGTACTTTAATATCCATTAGTGATTCCCAAAGATGCCCTTGTTGTGCTTTTGTCACCCACATTGGTTCCATGTAGCCTCTAGCGATTCCCTAGTATACCCAGGAAGTGTTTAAATTCATATCTCTTGGAGACCCCTAGTATGCCTTGTGGTGCTGCAGTATTCCTTCATGGTTTCCTAGATACCCTGATTGGTTCGATGGGCTTTCTCTTGAAAGCTCATGATGGTTCCAAGTAGGTCATCATGGTGTTCTCTTAGCCCCTAAAGAGCACTACAAGGCAAATTAGAAAGCACTAATGGGTATTTAGAAACTAATTAAAGCTCTCTGGGTATACTAAGGAATTGATAAGGGATATAATGAAAAAAATATGGGGTATTATGGCACAACCAGTGCATATTATGATAGCACTAAGGCTATAAAATAACCAAAGAACCAAAAAAGGATATTAAAGCACCTCTTTCAGTCTTTAGCTTACTAGGGGTTCAGTTAAGACTATTGAAAAACCAACTAGGGATATGGTATGTGTAATATTTTTGTATTGTGCTGACCTTATTGACTGGGTTGTGCTGGCACAATTCCTGCAACACAACCAATAAATACCTTTCTTTGTTTATGGAGAAATATTAATGAATGTACACTTTAACAAATATATATATTATTTCTCGTCTTCCTGACCAATAGATACAAAGATACAACATACGAAGAAAAATACTTTCTGCTGGTTGTGTTATGATGATTCTTCGAAAAAACATACATGCAGTATCACAGTGACATCAGATTAATAAGTTCAGTTACCACTTCCCTTGCACTTACAAAACATGCAACAATTAATTTTGTTCAGTTCACATAATCTGTTTTGTACCACACTTACTATAATAAATTAGATGGAAGTAGAAATAATCTTGATTTGCGCCATTAAAAATTCAGTCAAAGTGATATCATATTTGAAATCTAAATGGAAAATTACATCTAGGAATGTGTTTTTGCAACTTTGAAAATTTAATTTTCTTTGAAAATGCAATTTCTAGGTTGAAGAGATTCTCTATAGACCCCATGTTAATAAAATCACAAGAAGTGAAATATCTTTGCTTGTATTGGACAGATAATATTTTCTTTTACTGGGCATATTTTTTAATTTGTACTGTATATAACTATCAGATACATAAGGTGATATGAAAATTGAAACACTAAAGCTGATGAATATTCAAGTTTAGGGGAACTATCTAATACCCTGCCATGTTCGGCCCCGAAATTAGCCTCCTGGCGGTGAAACTTGTAACTGCCTATTCGCATCTGGTTTATTACATTTTAAAATCAGATCATCAGGTGATATACAGATCTAGAATATCCTTTGTATCGAGATCATTTTCAAAAACGAAGCCATATTCTAATGGGTCAAGATACCGTTGTCACAAATGGCGGACATAACTGTCGCTTCAACTCTTTAATCACTTGGTCCTCGTTTCTCATGGGATTTAATCATCACTAATTCTTTGCATGTATTAAGCTCATGTGATGATGTATTATATGAAATCCAAATTTCTATCAAATGGGGTCGTGAATCGCCACAATATATCGTCTTCGATATCGTCAATGACAACAGAATTTGAATTTGAGATAATTTACAAAGACAACAGCATATGGTAAATTATTTATTTATTTAGGAGCAAAGGTTAACTATTAAGTCTCCCACACACACAAGTCTTCAAATTCAAGGATATTTTCAAGCCTAAATCTTGAACGAAACATAAGTTACAGTGAGTTATAGAAGCTATAGTATATGTATCCCTATATAAGGGGTGTTTTAAGAGGTAAATCAATAATTTCTGCTTAAATTTTTTATTATTATTTATTTTAAGTGAACTACAGTCATCTATATTGGTCTAAAATGAAAGAAAAGTATTAATACTATGTATGGGTATAAGGTGTGGAAAGTAAATTAAAAAGTATAGATGATGGTTTATCTGAATATAATACAAATCCAAATTATATGGAAATACTTTTTTTTCTCAAAAAGTTATAAAGCTATGAACATAGGGTTACTGCATTTTCTCAACAGCATAATTATACATATTCAGGAATATTTTTAAGCCAGAATCCTGAATAACACAAAAGTTACGGAAGTTAACTTAAGTACCCCCTTTAAAATGGGGGCGTTTTAAGGGGTTAATCAACTATTTCTCCATAAATTATGATTTTCACACATTGAAAAAAATTTTAATGCATAATTTAATGTACCATTGATCAATTTAAGCTATTTGAGATGTCTTTATGTTTAAATTATGAAAATAATAATTAGTTTTAAGTTTGGGGGTGAATTGTAGGGGGCGCCACCTATAGGACCAGTTTTCACATTCGTTGCCGGGGCTAGGACAGAGAACCCAAGCTCAAAATAAGCCCAAGACCTTGCTCTACATGAATCCAGTGAGAAACTTAGGGGACAAACTTATTTTTTTAAATTTGCTCAGCTGCTGACCTAATAGATAAGCTGACCAGACACCAGATCGTCTTTAATCCACGCCAGGTTCAATTCAATAACATGTGCCAAACACCTTAACTAAGACCTAGTTCACCCCTCCCCTTTCTGCAGCCCCGGCATCATCCGTTTAATCGTACGCAAACGTTGTTCTGTTGTTCTTATCGCATTGATGGTTTGTGGGCGAATCTCCTGTTCGATGTGCTGATGTTCAATTCAATGTTCAATGAAAAGTTATGTTGGAGGACAGGTGCTTTGAAATCTAATTGGAAAATAGAGCGGAATACTGTTGTGGAAGACAAGAAATTAATACTCGAAATACTATGGAGATCGAGTGACTTCGACTTGCATCGAGCTTCTGCCCCCCCCCCCCCCCCTCTCGTAACATACACAACCTTGTGGTGAATGTTGGGGAGGGGGCTCGGTGAAAACGACTGTTTTCAAGTCAAACAGCTTCAACATTTCGTTGGAATCACCGCGATTAAATGTTCTGATATTCAGAGTGGATTTGTTCTTCAATTAAATCTCGAGGGCTAATCTAACCCAAGCAATGTTTTATCAAGGATGTGTCGACTAATTTACCATGTTAGATTATATACTTATCTTCTTTGGCGTTAGTTTGAATAATAGGAACTACCCTGAAACCATCTGTTAACTATTCTATACTCTTACTATTAGAGATGATCGTACAATACGCAAGCTTTGATTTAAAAGTCGTGAATTTCTGTCCATGTATCCTCTTTAAATAGCTATGCTCCTTAGATAAAAGATTTATCTTCTTATGTCAGAGTGTAAACGAAAGCGAGTTCTCGAAAAGGGTAGTATAAATGTTAAAATAATCTAATGGAATACTAGAGTCTCGTATCAGCTTAGATCCTCCTTTCCTATAATCAGAGGGAAAGTTGACGTTGACGAAACTAACCGCAATTTTTGATTTCCAGGTTTTCATGTTTGAAAATTGAACTGACCTGGTAAGAGAAAGTGGCACGGGGTTGTGAACTAGTGTGTTCAAATGCGAACGTAATACCCTGAAGGACCCGTTCGCAATTTCACTGTATCACGCATTCGTGCCTTTCAGTAAATACGTATCATATCAAGACAACCTACAACTTTGTAGATCCCAATTGCAAGCGCAACCCCCAAAGTACAACCAGAAATCAAATCCTTATTTAAGTTTTTCTACATTTCAGAGTTTCCTTCAAAACTTCGGCTACTTCCCGAAGTCCGATCTCGAGACGGGGGCCTTACGTTCGGAAGAAGAATTCAAGAAGGCGGTCAGAGCAATGCAGAAGATCGCAAATATCCCCCAGACGGGAGAACTCGACGAAGCAACGGTGGAAAAGATGAATTCCCCCCGTTGCGGATTACCTGATACAATTGATGAAACAAACGAAGATGGCTGGTCCAAGAAGCGCAGGAAGAAACGATATAATCATTCGAGTGAGAAGTGGCGTAAAAATCATTTGACGTACAGGTGAGTGTGTTCGATTAAAGCAACGACCGGTCAAACGCAAATAAAAGTTATTCTAAACAAACAAGTTATAATCCATCTTGAAAACTTGGCTGGATCACAAACTTAAGTAAACCCAGTGGCCTAGCTACAAGCCCTTGTGACATAGAGAAGAGTCCATCGTCTAAGCAAGACTATAAACCCAGCGCAAACTGCTGGTGTGAACCCCCCTCACCTTCTTGTGGTTTGAACTCTTGAATTAAGGCTTTCCATCCTTATATTTAATTGGCAGAAACAAATGCATCAATCAATCAATCAATCAATTAAACAATCAATCAATCAATCAATTGAGAATCAAAGCAAAAATATAAACCTGGTTGTAATCGGAACACGTGTTCGATGTTTGCAATGATGCAGACAAAAGTTCGTTGTATTTGTAATAACAGTCTATTACTTTCCAACGCCTGTGTTTTGAAGATGAGAAAGACAGAATATGAAACATCATTCCACTGTTGCATGCACAGGCTGTGCTGCTTAGGGATTTTCGCAATATGCTATAATTTTGTAAGCGACATTGACACGATGCAAGATGATGACGTTCATCACTTAGCAGTTAACAGGGAGAACAGAGAATGGATTATCCCTAAGAACAAGTGTCAGATCCGCTGTCATGTTTTGATGGAAAGTAACAAAATAGAATATTATGAATATGGATATGATTGCCACGGAAAAAACTTCAGATTGATGAACATAACATTCCAAATCGTATAAAAACGTCAAAAAATCAAGCAGTTCTTTGAAGTTGAACAAAAAATTAATTTAGCAGACGACATTTAAGTCAGCAGACGACATTTTGCAGACGACATTTTGTGCACAGGATGTACCCTGTTAGGTGGTGGCAGCAGGGGTGTAATCCTCTGAGAACAAGTGACAGGTCTGTTTCTGCTTGCATACAGCGGGAAGACGAGCTGCAAAAACAAATATATCCAAATGATTACATTCATTATAAGTTTACTGTTATTCGACACGATGTGTTTGTTTGAAAGGGAGTTAGGTTACGTGAGAAAGCGGGAACTTATCTTGTAGTCTGATGTATAAAACCTACTACAAAAGCTATGTAGTTCATTTGTGAACGGAAGGTCATGGAATAACTGCAATGGAACACAACCGTGAGGTGGACGATTCATATTCGAGCTGATGTACGAAAGGCCAGGGGATGATGATAATGAAGTGACGTGTACGAAGGACATAGGATCCAGAGCGCACGACGATGTTCTTGGCTTTGTAGAGCTGAACAACCCAGATGAGGAACTAAAGATCAATTGAGCACATGCCTCAAATGGCAAATCGATCCCATTTGAAATCAACGCCAACGGTCGGGAGAGGACATACAATGATACGGAAGCAACGTGGAGCGGAAGAAACAAGGCCTGACATTTCTTGACCTACATCTTGATTCCAGCTGGTAGGGTCTAACAACTGCTGCTTCTAAAAGCAAAGGTCAATGAGTCCCAGAGACTTTAGATCATCGTAACGACTAACTCAACGACTTGCATATATATACTGCTATACAATACGAGTTAGAGACAACAGTATTTTAACTACTGCTTAATTATTAAGCATTATTATTAAATAAGTAAAAAACGCAAGATCGGAGAGTCGAGAGAGATCACACAGAAGCTTGCGTCAATTCCTTTATTTACTGACGCGGATAAATATCCAAACTGCGATGATTTTTTGCTCTCGATGATGCAGTGTGTCAATAAAAATTACGGCTTCAACAAAACTTGACACGCGCTCCTTTGTTCTTAGATGCGGAGTTGTCATTTTTGCCTTACATACAGAAGAGGGCTTCGACTACGTCTATTAATTAAATGATGCGTCTTTCTCTGACTCTCTTAATCTTCTGACGCATCTTTACAAACAATTTGGAGTGAACTTAATATTTTTTTGTTCAATGGAATTTCCAATCAATTTTACTGTATCGAAAATCGAAAATCCGATTGTAATGATATCACATTAATTGCGGGTAGATGGAATCGGTGGTGACTGGTGAAGGCCACCTTACATTGGTACCAGATGTAAGCCACATTGCTGCACCGACTTCCCCCGACAGCCGATATAACAATTGGGGAAAGAATCTGGCGGCTATGCTATCAGTCATTGTCAGTTAGAGAAAATTGAGATACCATGGCATTCTGATGGCTGCCTCCTCACAAAGCGTCGCCATCGCCACATCTCCAGTGTGGACAATGGTTACGATGTAGATTGAAACCAGATTATGAAATACAGCATTTTTACAATAAAGGAATCTACGAATGGATTGAGCTTAGAACACTAATTTTGGCAGACATGGCTGAAATGTTTTGTGTAAATTGGGAAAAGGCAAATGATTTCCATGCATTATTGTCGATCACATCAACAAAAATCCAGTTAATTTTGGCCTTGGTGCGAGACTAATAAACGTATGTGCCTTAGCGTTCCTCGCATTCTGGTGTTGTGGTGAAGAAATGAAACATCACAACCTACTTGAATGTGGGCATGCTGAGGCACCTAGCGACGGCAGCATCACCATAGCAACTGTATCTCAATAGGATGGATTTCCATAGCAACGTGCAACGACAGCAAATAATCAGCACGTAGACAAATGCACTTATTTAACATTGTTCTTAGAAACAAAATAAAAATATACGTTTATTTGTTTGTTTGTTTGTGTGATTGTTTGTTTGTGAGTGTTTGTAGTTGGTGTGTGTGTACATAGCTCATGTGTGAGTAACCATAGTAACCTGTCCATATATATATTGTTTGGTAATGGCCATTACTACTCTGTTGCCCAATGCCTACCCCTCCCCCTGTTAATTGAACCCCCATCCATTCTTCAACTACTCTTCAGTCTAAATCTGAACACATTTAGGTATGCACCTAAGATCCAAGCAATAGAAACTTGATATAAAAAAAGTCGGTTCCCCACTTGTTGTTTTGCAAATTCAGATATCGAGTATAGCTCAATTGAAAAAGAAAACATTCCACTGACAGACAGCCTGGTGCATGAAGTACCAAAACGAATTAGAGGTTACCATGGCTATCCTTCGCGTCTGAGCCTACTAGATGAAGTTCTTGTATGAAAAGCAAGGTCAACCAGAAGGGGTAATCGGAGGATTTGACATTGGTTAAATAAAATGATCTATCTAATTTAGAATACGATTGATTTTCGGAGAGTTCGAAATCAGTATACTGTCCAAATCGGGAGTTTAGGTGGCTCGGGCGAAATCCCCCACCCCCTTACAAAAAGTAACCCCCTTAATTAAAAGATTGTACAGGGTCGATCCTCCAAAAGCAGTGTTTACAGAAAACATATATATTAAAATTCTCTCTTCTATGAGTGGTAATTTGTGACTTCAGGGTGGATATGGAATGTTTAAATATTCCAAAGTGCCATTTTCCAAGTCGTGGTCACGTCGTGGTGGCTCATTGGGGAGTTTAAGCTTGCATATAAAGTCGAAACGCCAACCTTTACGTATGACCAATCGCCCATACAAATGCATCGCTTAAATATTTTCCGTTCATGTTTAGGTTGTGAAAAACATTGCAAGCTTAAACTCCCTATTGTATTGTTCAACGTTAATCAAGCAAGCATTTAGAATCGCCATCCGTATTGGCACTAATTACAATGATTCAGTTGTAGTCAATTCTCTAAATTGTTTCCATGATAATCACCCATTGATTGACGTAATCACATAATCAAATAATCAATTCAATGTAAAGACCAATTTACAGGATTAAGTGCCGTTTTAAAAATAATCAGATATAATGATAATAATCCCACAACTGCGTACGTAATCTCCAAGCAATTCGTTCAGTACAATCTTGCAATCGTCCAAGGGACGCAGTAAACGCACTGCTACGGAGATTTGCCCTGTGTCCCAAATAAAAACATAACTAAACTTTTTATCAACATCATTCTTATGTTACGAGCTGCTCCAGGGTACCATTGTCCGGGTTACCATAGCAACAATAACTCAACTATAATGTGATAATGGTCATTACACTCATTAGTATATTGCTTTGGTCCAGGGAAGGAACAATACTTTTTCACACGCGACAGGAAAAGTATTTCATGTCAGAATATTAAAAATTAGTTATTACAAAATAAAGGGACATACTAATTGATAGTTAAACGAGACTTACCTTGGTAAGTTGAAGTTTGACTGTAGTTCTACCGAACTGTATGCAGGAACAAAGAGATTATATGAGAGAGCGGTCAGCTGCTGGTTAATCACTATTGAGAGCATTGAGTGATCACATTGTCATGATGCAGGAACAATTTGGGAGGGATAGGGTGGGATATAATCTCTTTGTTCCTGCATACAGTTCGGTAGAACTACAGTCAAACTTCAACTTACCAAGGTAAGTCTCGTTTAACTATCAATTCTACCTCACTGTATTACGTAACAAAGAGACTATATGAGATTTTAAAGCATGGGATCACTCAATAATTAATGAATATCAAAATAAAATTTTGAAACAACAAAAGTATAACTTTTGTAATGAAGATTATCTTCAAGAAACATCATTTATAGAAACAAAACAATGAAATTGTTAAAGCTGTACTCAGACAATCTTGTGTCAAGTTACTCAGACCTCACAAAATCACAATGCCCACAGCTGTGTAAAAACACCTCCTTCCCTTTAGGTTTATTGATACACTGTATCTAACTCATTTGGAATAAAGTTTTTGACATTTCAAAAAATAAAATAAAGCATCACATGCATTCCTGTAGTCTTATCCAGATACTAATATGGATTTGGCATGAGTTGTTAATTGCTGCTGTAAATTGGGATATATTACATCAATTAATGTTTAAGGTTTCTGAAGAAACCCAGTTATAAGTTCTCATTTTTAACTGAATGTATCTACATAATGTCAAAACATTATCAAATAATCACATGAAGTCATATTTGATGACCAGTTTTATGAGATTTAACCATTAGCATGGTGAATGGTCTAAAGTGTAACATCTCAT